AAAGTGCGACAGAAACTTATGGTTCCATCGGATTATCTATGTTTTACGGCGGATTTTGTCCGCCGGTAATCAGGGGTTTTCCTGTAGTGTTATATATGGATTATTGACCAAGAAATTAATAATACTTCTATGTCGAATATCTGATCAACCATCTAATATTATTGTCACTTTGGTCTCAGTCCAAGTCTTTTTAACTTCATCCACCATTTTTGAAGTTGTCTTAACCTCCTCATTTAGCATACAAGTCCTCAGCTCATACATGCTTGAAAGTTGTAGTCCTCTACCATAGCTTCCAACAGATCGTAACATATTAATCCACGACGAACTATAACAACATTGAATGGTATATCATTTTCATAGAAGAATCTAGCAATATATAAACAAACTTTGTTCCTGAGTTCCTTTGTAGCAATAGGAGAAATATTTTGAGTGTTTGTATTTTCCTTGTCATCAATATTAACAATAAATCTATCCATGGGTCCCTTAATGCCTCAGAAGGAAGTAGCTGGCTCCCACTACTAGAACCTTCATGCTGTGAACCATAGTAAGAAGAATTTCTAATCATCTCTTTCATATTTCTTTGTGTAATCTCTTTTATGGTGGCAAACTTCTTTAAGTAATCTATACATTCCTTTTTCACTTCATCAGGTACTTTTGCACATAATCCCACATTGACATGCGTAGAGGCTAGGTGATCATTCAAGCTCTTGACACTACCAGTAATGCACTTCTCGCAGAAATTATATTTCATATAAAAATATCCCTTCTTTGCACCTTCGTATGTCATTTCAACTTAAGTGGCATATTTTCATGCAGGATCTTTCCTTCTTTTGCCACTAGTCATACTAATAATTGATAGAAATAAATAATTAACAGCAAATAAGAAATATAAATTTAATCATAAATTGATGACATATATCATTTTTTAATGAAAAAATGAACTAGAATTGATGACATATAAAGGACTCTATTGTTTTAGATTTTAATGGCACAATAACTTATTATTTATTTATCCTCATTAGTCTTTATTTGCAGAGATAACAGAGGCTCGAGGAAGGTAAACGGCAAAAGCATAATCAAAGTTGGAAGTATGGAAAGATGTATGAAAGTTACATGTGAATATATTACTGTACGTATTATATATGAAAAGATGTATGATTAGAATCGAAGTTGTGTTTGGCTAAATTTATGAATATTCAATTTGTTGTTTGAATCTTAATATAACAATAAAGGTTAATTCTCCCTTCATAATTATGCATATTCACTTAGCATGTTCTTGACAAAATTTTCATAGAAACATTCATTAGTAGAACAAAAATAATATCATCTGCATAAATTTATATTAAAGAGTTTTCAAAATATTTTTATTTTAAAATCATAAATATAATGTATAATGATGTGTTTCAAAAGTTTTTGGTCAATGCTTTCAACAAATTTGGCTTAATTTCATATTAAAACCACATAAAAAAGTTGTATAAAATATAAGAAAATAAACCAATTTTGCCAAAATTCCCAAGTTTCAGATTAATTCTTGTGAATGGTGGGATTCAATAAATCCTAAATTTAATCAATAATAATAATGATAGATAGCTTTTATCATGCATGACAGATGATTTTTTTTTTTATTTGAATTCATATTTGAATTTCAACAATGAACATAATTTTATAGTTGTCAACATTAAGCAAAACCAAAGAAAATGATGGGAATTAAAAATCTTTATCAATTTCAAGATTTGGGGAATGTGGTTGAAATCCCAATTAAGAAAAAAAGGTATCTAAAGGTACTATGTTTGCAAAATGTAAATAAAATTAAACTGGAAGCCAAATGTTTTTCGAAGATGAGATTTTTTTGCATCTTAATACAAATAAATGCATTAAAATAATTCATAAATAGAAATTCACTTAGTTTTGATAAAGATTGTGAAGATATTGATTAACCCGGAAAAAAATGATATAAGATGATCATTCTCAAGAAGGCTATATGATTGACGATTGAAAAAATAGCCCCTATAAATGGATTAAGGTCAGCAAAAATGAAATGGAGAGTAAGAATTCAGAAAGCCATCTATTAAAAGAAATCCAACAAGGAAGTAATTTATATTTCATAAAATTTGTATCGATTACAGGAAGCAGGCGAAGAGGAAGCAAACAATGAAAGGGAGTTAGGGAAATAAATCGTTACCTTCACAGAGAGGTACGTTGAAATCGAGAAGAAGATGGCTGCTAAAGTCGACAATCAGGCGAAGATAAAGCAAATGACGGGAAGAAAAATCGTTACCTACACTACAGCCGTAGAAAATGAACCCTTCGATTACGGGAAGCAAGCGAAGAGGAAGCAATGAAAGGGAGTTAGGGAAACAAATCGTTGCCTTCGCGGAGAGTACGACGAAGTTGAGAAGGTGGCTCTTGAAGTCGGCATTTCGAACCCCCTCAGTTCTCACACGAATCACTTGCTAACGAAAAGCAAATGAAGATGAAGCAAACGACGAAAAGAAAGATAGAGCTACGAAAGGAAATAAATCGTTACCTTCGCCTCCAGGTACGTCGAACTCGACCGAACTGTGGATGTCGAATCGGCGGAGTTCGTGTTCGCCTTTTAGTTCTCACACGAAGCATATACCCTAATCCTATACTCGACTCTTATACGACTACACCGCTTGGTGGTATATACATATAAACCGAGGCGGTGCCTCATTACGCCCCGAGGCGTTACGATCCAAAGCGTACGCCCCATGTGAAAAAATCGCACGCACTGCCGGACCCTTCGAGGCTGAAGCCTCGATGCGCATAGCTTCCGCCTCGACTTAAGGCGCGCCTCAATGCATACACCTCGTCTGCCTTTTTATTCGATGGTTTTATTATAGAAACTTCATATAGACAATATTAATTGGAGTCTAATAAATTTGGTACGCCCATTCTCATAGAAGAAGAATTACACTCAAGTGAAATCGACAACACCATATGACCATTTATTGAACGAAAATGGTAGAGACTAAAGCAAAACATGCTAGAAGTTGAGACCATGAAAGAAGATCATATTTTTATATATCTTTATTTATTGATCATGTTCCTTGAGAAGGTTCCATGGTGCACATAGAAAGATGGACAATTAATTATTTCCATATTTCTAGGAGTTACAATAATTATAGGCCAACTTGGACTTGTCAACTCCTTAAGAAAGCAAAGGAAATATACAATACCACCATTTTATCTCAGATAGTCAAAAAATGAATCAAACTTAGTATTGCAGAGTGACCGTTAGATGAGTATGAAGAGGAACAAATGAAGAGTAATTACTTGGGTAAAAAAGGATGTATTTCGGTGACTAAAGTTCCTAGAACTTCTTCGAGATTAACACATTATTTGAAAATCTACATTCCACCCAAATTATACTATATAATCTTTAATTAAATTATTTAAAACTGCCATCTTTAAAATCATTGTCATCGGCCAAAAATGAAGAAAAAATTAACATCACTTTTTATCATATCCCAAATGAAAGAATCGTCATGCATATCTTAGCCATCATAATTTCTAGAATCTAATTAAGGCCTAAAATGCATCTATTTCCTCATCCTCTATTTCATACAAAATAGTTACTACCAATAACAAAGCTCCTCTTAAAACACCTTTATCATAATTGACCTATAAGAGAAATGACAAAGGAAATTCTCCAATGTAGAACAAGTATTATGTCATGAGCACTTGAAAGAATTTAAAAAAATCCTAATTTCAGCTCTAATCACTCAAAACTCAGCAATAAAGCAGATTTAACAGTTTCTTAAATCATAAAGTTCTAGATACTACTCTCGTGGAGTTGTAAACACAAGCTTTAAAAATAGCATTCAATGCCTCTATTCAGTTGTGAGCATTATTACTTCTCCCAAGTACAATTGATATTTTTGCAAAATTTCAAATTTGCAACAATCTTTGTGATCTCAATCAACAACATCAAGATTTTATCCCACTCCATAGGGTCAGTTATACGAATTTTTTTACTCCATTGTGTCCTATTAAGAGTTAAATTCTCATTTAAATCTAATAAAAAAATGTCATTTCTAATACTTTATAACCAAATCTTTTTAGATGTACATCTACATTTCTTAACATAGATCAGATCTAATAGATCTACTATCCTAACCGAGTCATCAGAATACCGACATTTTATGTGACCAAACAATCTAAGGTGACTCTCTAATCTTATATGCCACTGGAGCTAATTTAACCTTTTCATGTATATACTCATTTTGCATTTTGTCAGTAAGGGTAAAGCCACTCATCCACCTGAGCATCCTCATCTTTGCAACACTTAACTTTATGCTTCTATTTTAATGGTCAATGCTCTACGCCAAAAGTATTTTAAGTCTCATCACTATCTTAAAGAATTTTCCCTCAAGCTTAAGGGGTACTTTTCTATCACATAGCAGGCTCAATGCATTCCTCCACTTCAACCATCCAACTTGAATTCTACTAATAATATCTTCATCTATTTCACCATCGCTTTGAACAATAAACCTGTGATATCTAAAACATCTACTCTTTTTAATGGCTTGATTGCCCAATGTCACAATCTCCCCTAGAACTATTACTATTAAAATTACACTCCATGAATTTAGTTTTAAATAATGTTTGCAATTTCAATCATTTTACATAAATATGTCATGGCTGCTAATCAGATGACTAATGACGTTCAAGGGATCAGTAGCACGAATAGTCTACAGACACTGATGACTGCAGATTGGACTAGCAGCTTAAGAACAGTTGGCATATGACAATGTAGTTTGGCCATCTTAAATTTATCGCGGTAACGACTGTCATATTTAACTAAAGTTGATCTATGCATTTTGATCGACGATTGTTTATTTAAACACAATATCCATGAAATTTACTGAAATGATAGCCAAGGTTGAAGGACCTCTTTAAGTGCTTGCGGCCGAGCTCTGATTTACTTCAGTATCAAATAAACCATCTAAAAATAAGATACATCTGCTTGAATTTACCTGCAAGAATTTCCATCAACCGCACAAACTCCTCTAAACTTCCGTGGTGCATGAGCCTTCCACATTCATCCCTGATAGCTTTGATGGCCGAGCCATGAAGCAGAGAAAATGGCCTTATCCCCAGCTTATCAAGCCTGCCCAATAAATCGATAACATCCTCAAGCCTTCCATCGTCGATGACGGCGGCGATTCCTCTGGAGATCAACTTGGCTTCAATGCGAGAGATGAAACGGGATCTATCAACGAAGTTGATGGCGTCGGAGGTCAGGATGCCCTCGGAGATTGTGAGGAATTCATGAAGCCGGCCGGTTAGGGCGAGCTTGGAGGCCAGGCGTGCGTAGTGCTTAAGAAGGTGGGAGGTGGAGGGAGCGGCAGAAGAGACACACTGTTTGATGCTTAGGAGAGATGGGGAGAGACGGAGGGGGTCGAGTGACTTGCAGTCAGCGTGGTTGCTCGAAGGAGGCGGGAGAGGTTTCCGGCGAGTAATAGCGTTGGACCAGGTCGGAAGGAGAGAAATGGAGGCCGCTAGAACCGCGACCACGGCCATGGGAGTTTGGGAGCACAGGGAGAAGATATTTCAACATTTATCTCTTTTTTTTTTAACCTTTTTCTTTTGTTTTTGTAAATGGCATTTAGGTCAATTAAAACAAATTTACACACACATCATCATATAAGATTAGAAACTAATATCTCTTAGTTGATAATCAAAATTTACAATCAACAAATCAAGATGAGCTGCATACTAGTTGTTTAATTTTAAAAACTTGTCATCAACAACGAGTTATGTATAAACTTCTATTAAAAAAGCCACCCCATCAAAGGAGATATCTTCTCCGAATCTTACTCTCTTTTTTCTCGCATGTTGATTAATAAACAAGTTGGACATACTTGTACGGCAGTGGTGATTTTTTCCCTTTATTTCAGCTGGTGTTGCTAACCAAAGGTATCTAGTCGTTCTAAATATGTTCTAGATTTAATAGAAGATATAGATAAATAAAATATAAAATTCTTATAATTATTAATATGAGCTTTATATTTTTGTATTTTTTATATTTATATTACATGCCAAAAAAGTTTTAACAATAATAACATCAAGTCTTTATCCTACCATGCGGGGTTGGCTACATGAATCATTTTTTTTTTTCATTGAGTCTTATGAAGAGCTAAATTCTCACTTAAATATAATAAAGATGTCATTTCTAATATTTTCTAACCAAGTCTTTTAAGTCTACCTCTATCTTTTTTAACATAGGTCAAATCTAATACATCTACTCTACTACCAGAGTCTCTTAACATAGTTCTCAGTATTAATCCAATTTGATTTTGAGAAATATTAATATCACGTCGTAACCTATGCTCAATAATTCTCTCCCATAGTTTTAAAGTATGATACATTAACTTTATTCTTCTATAATTTGTATATTCTTGTGTATCACATTTATTCTTAAAAATAGAAATCGAAATACTCCTCCACTCATCTAACATCTTTTTAGTTTTTAAAATAAATTTTAAAAGTTTCGTAAGCCAAGAAATTCCTTCATTTCCTAAGCATTTTCACACCCTATTAGAATATCATCAGGTCCACACTTTATTTTCTTTAAAGCCTCTCTAACTTCAATTTTACTAATGCACTAATAAAAATAAAACTCTCTATTTTCATTTAGGGTGCTAAGGTCACTAAAGTCAATCGTATTTTCACAATCTTCATTGAAAAATTATCAAAATATCTCACTCCCTTTTGTTGAATATTCTCTTCTAATAAAAGCACTTTTTGATCTTCATCCTTAATGCACTTTATTTAAACTAAAGTCTTATTATTCTTATCTTTTATTTAGCTAAATTATACATATATCTTTCTCCCTCCTTGGTATCTAATCTATTATATAAATCATTAAAAGCTAAATTTTTGCATCACATATTGCTTTCTTGTACTCCTTATGGGCCTATTTATATCTTTTCAAATTTTTGAAGTTTTTACATCTAACCAATTTTTATAACAAAAGCTTCTTATTTTTTATATTTTCTAGCATATTTTGATTCCATCAGCAACTATTTTTATTATTATTAGCTTTTTCTTTTGATACTCCAAGCTCATCTTTTACGACATTCTTATTATCATTAGTTATTTTTTTCCACGTAACATTAGTTTCCTCATATATAGTCAGAATATTAAGATCTTAAATATTACTCTCAAAAATATTTTTTTTAGTGTTGTTTAAATTCCCCCATCTAATCCTAGGATAATATTTTACTTTATTTTATTATTATGCCCTTTCATCTTAAAGTCCAAAACTGATAAGTGATGTTGGATAAATAAACTTTCACTCGGAATAACCTTACAATATTACATTCTAAATGATCTATTTTTCTTTTAAGAAAATAATCAATCTGATTTTTACTATATTCATTTTTAAAAGTGATGAGACGTTCCTCTCTTTTTTTAAAAAAAAGTGATAACAATTATAAAATTATAAACTCGAGAAAAATCTAATATGATCCTACCACCATCATTAGTCATGCCAAACCCATAATCACCAATAATGGTTTTAAAATCTTCTACCTCTCTACCAACATGTCCATTTAAATCTCCTCGAAAAAAAACTCTTTCTTTATGATGTATCTTTTTTATTAATTCTTCTATGTCATTCCAAATTTTTTTTTTTGAATATATATATAAACCTATTTAAGGAGCATAAGCACTTATAATATTAATAATATTATCATCAATAATAATCTTTAAAGCTATTAATTTCTATTAATTTCTATCTTCAATTACTATTAATATTTAAGGAGCATAAGCACTTATAATCTTATATTACTATATTCTATCTTCAATTCTATTAATTTCTACAACATTATCATTCAAACTCTTATCTAAAACCATACCACACCATTTCTAATATGACTTCTATGAGAATACCATAGTTTAAACCCTAAATTATCAATCTCCTTAGCATTCTCTACAACCCATTTAGTTTCTTGAATGCATAAAATATTTATCTTCCTATGAATCATAATATCAATTAATTTTATTTATTTACTTGTAAGAGAACCTATATTTCAAGTTCTTATCCTAAATCTAGTTTTATGGACTAACTTCTTTGCCAACATCCATCTGTGATTTGGGAATCCTTGTCAATTTAACATTGTACCTAGGCGCTAGTGCAACAGCCCTTACACACTTCTCACTATATTTAGGCCATACAATGCATTGCTTCTAGGGAATGCCCTAACATTAACATAATATATTAAAGGATTAATGCCAAAAAAATTATAGTAGTAAAAAAATTAAATAAAATTTTTTACCTTTGTATATTATAAAGATCTCGCACACATACAAATATGACATGTTGAAAGTAAAAAAAAAACCAACTAAAATGATTACATTATATATATATATATATATATATAT